CTCACAAAAAATAGGAAGATCTGCAAATGCAAAACAACTGCCAGGTGCATAGATTACCAATAAAAGTATCTCCTTTATTTTCTCTTCTCCCACAGCACCACAATGGACTAATCCTTCATTCCTTGGACATCCTCCATCTACAGCTTTCATGCATTGTTGGGAAGTCCTCTGGTCACTGCTCCTTCCAAGGAGTGCAGGTTCTGTCTTCACTATGCTGTGGAGCTAGTGGTTGCCACTTCTAGTGGTTGCTTGCTTCTCTTGAATTTTTTAGAGCTGCTATGGAACTGGCTGGGATATAAAATTAATTTACTTTTTGGAGCCTGAAGTTTATCATGCAAAGCAGTTCTTCCTCCCATGTGACATGTAGTCTACTTACTGGCTTTTGATTCTTCTGACAGTTAATGGAGATTATTTAATCTTTGTAACTTCTTCATTAAAGATTTTTCATATCTGTTTTTATCTGTTTTCTTAGTATAGAAAAAGAATATGTCTGAATCCTTAAATTTTTTCACCTAGCCAGAGTATAATTTCCTGTCCAGTTTTTCCTGTCCAGCAATCAATTTAGCATGTGTCACCACAGATATGATGTTGTCATATTCCAGCTATAAAATTAAAACATGCAGATCAATGAGTATAGATAAATAAACAGAAAACAGGAGGTAAAAGGTGATTTCATCAACATAATTATTTCAGTAAATACTGTACGGTAGCAGAAGGGTACTGCAGAAGGTGTGAATTACAGTAATTACCTGAACTTTAGAGAGCAGTAATGAATAACTCAGTATTTATATTTATGTGTGTGGTTTTAGTCTGAAAGCTCTGGAACATCAAAAAAAAATAGAAGTATGAAAAATTATTTTGCGAAGTAAATTATTTTTAATGGATAGGGAGCGAGTAAAAATTATATAGGAACAATGCTACTATAAATTCAACTGCATCTGTTAGCCTATGGGTAAAATAAACTGTGGGAAAAGCATTCATGAATATTTGAAACAATGAAGCATGAAGCAAATGTGCTCCAGGAGTCCTGCATTAACAACAGGACTCCATACTGGACAAGACAGATGTAGATAACACATCTATTTAAACAGGTTATTTTAATGTGTATCTGCCACATGCTTACACTTTTGTAGTGACTTTTCTGGAAGAGCAGCTGTTGCTGGTGAGTAGCACCCAGAGACACTGACTCTGCCATGGCTCTGAGGGGTCCTGCTGCACCCCACCTGCCTCTCATGCCACCAGCCTTTACTCTCATCTTCCCTGCACAAACTCCTAACCCCCAACACATGACTTTACCCATCCTGGTCACTGCTTTCCTCTGTCACAACTGGGCCACCTCCTTTAAAAAAATGAATTTTGTGAAACCAGTGGTTAAACTAACAATTTCCCCTGATCCCCTGGTCCCTGGCAAACCAGCACCTGCACACATGTTAAGTGCCAGCTCATGATAGTGGGAATTTGTTCCATTTTATGCCTTCTCCTGTGAAGCAGCTCTTTTAAGGGAGGGGTTTTTGTTGTCATCACCAGCTGCTTTTGCATCTGAATATTTGCTTTATTTTGCAGCTTGAACCTTACTAAACAGCATAGGGAGATGTTAGCTGCATATTGTAACACCCATCAGCCTCAGATTAAATAGCTGGGGAGCAACCTATGAGTGGTATCGAAGGTCCAGCATAGATTTGGGGTAGCTTTACATCTAGGAAGCCTGCTCACTAAGAGGTGCATGGTCTCCTCCCGTCTTTTCTGGGAGCTCCCAGACACCCATCGGAACCAGTCTGAGGTGCTGGACTCCTTCACGGACTGCACAGAGCATGCATGTGCTTAATGACAGCCTCCTAGGCTCACTGCCCCAAGTGTTATGAGTAGAAACACCTTGTGCTTAAACACATAAATCCTTTGCTGAGTCCAGCCTGATACCTACCAGATACTGATATTATGCAGTGCTGCCTTATCTTGACAAGACAGAGGGAAAAAGAGAGATGATAATCCCTGTCGGAGAGCAGCAGTTATTATCTGTGTATGCACATTTCCCTCCCATGTCAGCTTCTGTATATGTGCACAGACATAGATATGGATCTATGTTACATACTTCTGCATGTCCATCCTGGCTCACCCTCAGGGCTGCTGGAACACATCTTTCAGAAGATAGCTCTGTGTGATAGGAAGTCAGCATTTTGGTTTGCATGGCTGATGCAGATTTTTAATGGCAGATGAAATCCCGGTTGAGCACGCCAGC